AAAAATCCCCTCAGAAATCCCAAAAACCCCTCAGAAATCCCAAAAACCCCCGTCCTCACCCGGGCATTCCGCGGCCCAGTGCCCCTTCCCGCCGCACCGGAAGCAAAGATCGGATCCGCCCCCGAACTTTTTTCTCCATTTCTGCCTCCAAACCTGGGGAAAAAAAAGCCCCAAATCCCAAAATTCCAGCGGGGGAGAGGTCGGGAATTCCCCCCCAAAAATTGTTGGGAATTTTCACCTGTTTCCGGAGGAATTTTCCCCTCAGGGATCCGCGGGTATACGTTTTTCTCTTCAGGTTGAGGCGGACGAAATTGCCGCGCGGGGCTCTGAGGGGAAAGAGGGATTAAAAACGGCGGGAAACTCGGAAAAGCTGAAAAAAGGGAATTTTGGGATGCGGATTTTTGGGGATTTTTGGAAATTTTCGGGTCTTTAGTTTTGGATTTCTGGGTTTTGGGGTTCTCAGATTTTTTTTTTCTTTTATTTTGAGGGGGATCGAATATTGGGATTCTCCAACTTTTGAGGGTCTTTGATTTTTGGGGTCTCCCAAGTTTTGGGGTTCTTGGATTTTTTAAATTTTTCAGAATTTGGGGTTCTTGGATTTTTGGAATTTTGATTTTGGATTTCTGGGTTTTGGGGTTCACAGATTTTTGGGATTTTTTAAAATTTATTTTGAGGGGTGTCAAATTTTGGGATTCTCCAACTTTTGAGCGTCTTTGTTTTTTGGGGTCTCCCAAGTTTTGGGGTTCTTGGATTTTTTGAATTTTTCGGATTTGATTTTGGGTTTCTCAGATTTTTGGGATTTTTCAGATTTTGGGGTCTTTAATTTTGGGTTTTTGGGGTTTGCAGGTTTTTGGGGTCTTTAAATTTGGGGTTCTTGGATTTTTTTTTTATTTTGGAGTCTTTGTTTTTGGGATTTTTCGGTTTTGGGGGTTCTCGGATTTTTGGGATTTTCTGATTTTGGGGTCTTTAATTTTGGCATTTTTTGAGTTCTCAGATTTTTGGGGTTATTTTGATCTTGGGGGTCACAAATTTTTAGGTCTCTGATTTTGTGGTTTTTGGATTTTTCAAATTTTTTGGATTTTTCGGTTTTGGGGTTCTCAGATTTTTGGGATTTTTCTGATTTTGGGTCTTTAATTTTAGGTTTCTGGTTTTTGGGGATCTGGCATTTTGGGGATTTCTTGGCTTTTGGGGTCTGGTTTTGGGACTTTTTGGTTTTTGGGGTTCTCGGATTTTTTGGTCTTCAATTTTGGGATTTTTTGAGTTCTCAGATTTTTGTGATTTTTTTTGATTTTGGGGGTCTCAGATTTTTGGGATTTAAAAAAAAAATTGTATCTTTAATTTTGGATTTCTAGGTTTTGGGGTTTCTCAGATTTTTTTTTGATTTTTTTTCTGATTTTGAGGTCTTTAGTTTTAGGCTTTTGGGATTTTTTGGATTTTAGGTCTTTAATTTTGGGAGTTTTGATTTTGAGGGGTGTCAAATTTTGGGATTCTCCAACTTTTGGGGTCTCCGATTTTGGGGCTCTCCCATATTTGACGTCTCATCTTTGGATTTTTTTGCCAGGAAAAAAGGCAGGAGAGCTGGGAAAAAGCCAGGAAAACTGGGAAAAAAGGCAGGAAAAATGGGAAAAAAGATGGGAAAAACTGGAAAAAAGGCGGGAAAAGCTGGAAAAAAGGCGGAAAAAAGGCGGGAAAAGTCGGAAAAAAGGCGGGAAAATCCAGGAATTACCGAGCCCTGCGCGTGGCTTTGGGTTTTTCCTCCTCTTCCTCCTCCTCCTCCTCTGGGATTTCTCCGGATCCGTGCGGCGCCTCCCCGGCTCCACTTTGGGATTTTTTCTTTTCCATCTTTTCCTTTCCCTCCTGTCTTTGCCTCACCCCAGAAATTCCAGGCTCGGATCCTCCGAGGCTTCTCCGGAGCTTGGCCGGGGCCTCGGCGGCGCCGGCGTCGTCCCGGGGCCGTTTCCTCCCAAAATTCCCGAGGGATTCAGGGCCCATTTCCAGAAATTCTTGCTGAGATTTGTCCCCAGTTTCCAAAAATTCCCGCTGGGATTTGGCGTCAGTTTCCGGGAATTCCCGCTGGGATTTGGGGTCGTTTTCCAAAAATTCCCGCTGGGATTTGGCGTCGTTTTCCTGAAATTCCTGCTGGGATTTGGCGTCGTTTTCCAGAAATTCCTGCTGGGATTTGGTGTCGTTTTCCAGAAATTCCCGCTGGGATTTGGCGTCGTTTTCCAAAAATTCCCGGTGTTTTTTTGGGGATTCCTCGCACCGCTGGATCCAGGCGGGGTCCAGCGAGCTCAGAGTTCGGGCCACGCTCCGTTGGAGCCGCCGGAATTTTTCGGCAACGGGTGAAGAAAAGTTGGGAATTTTTCCCAGCGAGGGAGGAAGGAATTCTTGGGAATCTTGGGGTTTTTCGGGATTTTCCGAGGAAATTTCGGCTCCGAGCTCCGGGGTTTGCTGGGATTGGGGAGGTTTTGGGATTCTCCGGGGATTTGGGGTCAGAGGGGGCTCCTGGAGGGAAGGGAAGGAAAAAAAATCCCAATTTTTTTCTCCTCTGGAATTTCAAATCCCAAATTCAAGGGGATTTTGGGGAAGCCAAGTTTTGGGAGCTCCAATTTTTGGGATCCTCTGATTTTGGGGTTCTTAAATTTGGGTTTTTTGATTTTTGGGGTCTCCAACTTTTGGGGCTCCCTGATTTGGGATCCTCTCGTTTTGGGGTTTTGGAATTTGGGATTCTCCAACTTTTGGAATCTCTGATTTTTGGTGTCTACAATTTTTGGGCTCTTTAATTTTGGAGGATCCGGTTTTTGGGGTCTCCAACTTTTGGGGATTCCCAGTTCTGGGGTCTCTAAATTTGAGATTCTCCCATTTTTTGGGATCTCTGATTTTTGGAGTTCCTGATTTTGGGATTTTTCCCATTTTGGGGTCTCCAAATTTAGGATCCCAAATTTTGGGATTCTCCAGCTTTTAGGGTCTCTGATTTTTGGGGTCCCTAATTCTGGGATCCTTAAATTTGGGTTTTTTTGATTTTTGGGTCTCCAACTTTTGGGGGTTCCTGATTTTGGGGTCTCTAATTTTGGGATTTTCCCATTTTAGGGTCTCTGGTTTTTGGGGTTTCTGATTTTGGGATTCTCCAGCTTTTTAGGATCTCTGATTTTTGGGATCTTTAATTTTGTTTTTTTTTTTATTTTTTTTTTATTTTGGGGTCCCTAAATTTAGGGTCTCCAGTTTTTTGGGGTCCCTAATTTTGGGATTTTCCAGCTTTTAGGGTCTCTGATTTTTGGGATCCCTGATTTTAAGGGATCCCCAATTTTGGGGTCTCTGATTTTGGGATTTTTCCCATTTTGGGATTCTTCCCATTTTGGGGTCTCTAAATTTAGGGTCTCCAGTTTTTGGGGTCTCTCTGATTTTTGGGATCCTCCAATTCTGGGGTCTCCAAATTGTGGGATTCTCTGATTTTTGGTGTTTCCAATTTTTGGGGTCTCTGATTTTGGTGGGTCCCAAATTTTGGGATTCTCCAGCTTTTGGGATCTCCAATTTTTGGGATCCTAAATTTTGGGATCCTTCAGCTTTTGGGTTCTCTTATTTTCAGATTCTTTAATTTTAGGAGGTTCCAAATTTTGGGATTCTCTGAATTTTGGGGTCTCAAATTTTCAGGGTCCCAAATTTTGGGATTCTCCAACTTTTGGGATCTCAAATTTTCAGGGTCCCAAATTTTGGGATTCTCCAGCTTTTGGGATCTCCAATTTTTGGGGGTCATTAATTTTGGAGGATCCCAAATTTTTTGGATTCTCCAATTTTGAGGTCTCCAGCTTTTGGGAT